TATTATTATTATTATTATCGTTATTATCATTGTTATCATTATTATTGTTATTATTATTGTTATTATTATTACTATTATTATAATTACTATTATTATTATTATTATCGTTGTCATCATTATTATTATTGTTATTATTATCATTATTATCATTATTGCCGCTATTATTATTATTATTATCATTATCATTATCATTATTACTATTATTATTGTCATCATCATCATCAGTATTATTATTATTATTATTATTATTATTATCATTTTTATTATTATTATCATTATTATTATTATTATTATTATTATTATTATTATTATTATCATTGTCATTATTATTATTGTTATTATTATTATTATTATTAATGTTATCATAATTATTATCATTATCATCATTACTATTATTATTATTATTAGTTGTAGTAGTGACAGTAGTAGTATCAATATCATTATTTTTATCAATATCATTTTTATTATCATCATTATTATTATTATTATTATTATCATTATTATTGTTACTATTATTATCATCATCATATTATTGCTATCATTACTAGTATTTTTTGTATTATCATCACTATCATTATCATCATTTTTTTTATGTTATTATTATCATTATCATTATTATTATTATTATTATTATTATTATAATTATCATTATTATTATCATTATCATTATTATTATATCATTATTATTGTTACTATTATTATTTTCTATTATTACTATTATTATTATTATTATTATTATTCATTATTATTATTATTATTATTGTTATCATTACTATTATTTTTTTATTATCATTATAATAATAATTATTATTATTATTGTTATAATTATTAATATTATTATTATTATTATCATTTTCATTATTGTTATTATTATCATTTATTATTACTATTATTATTATCATTATTGTTGTTATTATTATCATTTATTATTATCATTATTATTATTATTATTATTATTATCATTATTACTTATCATTATTAATATTATTATTATCAATATCATTTTTATTATTATCATTATTATTATCATTATTATTATTATTATTATTATCATATTATTATTGCTATCATTACTACTATTTTTTGTATTATCATCACTATCATTATCATAATTTTTTTATGTTATTATTATCATTATTATTATTATTATTACTATTATTATAATTATTATTGTTATTGTTACTATTATTATCATCATTATTATTATTGCTATCATTACTATTATTTTTTGTATTATTACTATCATTATTATCAATATCATTATCATTATTTTTTTATTATTATCATTATTATTATTTTCATTATTGCTATCTTTTTATTGTTGTTATTGTTGTTATCATGATTTTCATTATTATTATTATTATTATTGTTGTTGTTGTTTTGTTGTTATTGTTATTACTATTATTATTATCATTGTCATTATTATTATTATTATTATTATTATTATTATTATTATCGTTATTATTATCGTTGTTGTTGTTATGTTATTGTTATTACCATTATCATCACTCTTATTATTATTATAATTATCATTATTATTATCATTATCATTATTATTATTATCATTATTATTGTTACTATTATTTTTTATTATTACTATTATTATTATTATTATTATCATTATTACTATTATTATTATTGTTATCATTACTATTATTTTTTATTATCATTATAATAATAATAATTATTATTATTGTTATAATTATTAATATTATTATTATTATTATCATTTTCATTATTGTTATTATTATCATTTATTATTACTATTATTATTATCATTATTGTTGTTATTATTATCATTTATAATTATTATTATTATTATTATTATTATTACTTATCATTATTAATATTATCATAACTAGTACAGATAATATTATTGTTATTAACACTATCATCTTTATCATTATGATTATTATCATCATCATTATTATTACAATTGTTATCATTATTATTTTTTTTATTAATATTGTTATTATCATTATTATTATTATTATTATTATTATTATTATAATTATTTTTATCTTTGTTATTAATATTGATATTATTATCATTATTATTGTTGATATTATTATTAATACTATTATCATTATCACAATTATTTTTATCATTATCATCATCATAATTATAATCATAATTTCTTATCATTATTGTTAGTATCATTATTATCACTATTACCATCATGAACGTAATCCCCATTATTGATATTGTTATCACGATCATTATCATTATCATCATTATCATCTCTACCATTATTATGATTTTTACATTTATTATCATCCTCAAAATTATAGATTTGGTCACTATTATTACTTACATTACCATTTTTTTCTAAAACTGATATCCTCACTATCATCATTACAGTTATTACTATCATTAGTAATGCTAATTATCACTATGATTATAATTGTCATCGTTATCATTGGTTTATTGTTCAGCAGTTTATCATCACCATAATTACACTGCGATTCTCACTGTGAGATGCTGTGCAAATATTGTCGACAAAAATTATTTGTCTGAGAATACATAATTTTATTATAACAACATAACTTCGACATTATCTTATTATCAGCTTCACTTAAAGAAAATGTCTGTTGTTATTTTTCATTTGTTTCATGATTAGCGTAAGCTTTAGAAAAAAAATCGATTATGTGATTATACACTATGTCACATACAACTGCATCCATCTGAAAAATCAAAGACGTAGATAATGATAATGTTGGTAATTGCCTGTGATTCGTTCTCCAAGGCTTCTTTCGCTGGTATTGTTCTTTTCGTGTTGAACATACCTACTGATGATATTCAACGTAATTTGTGTGTCGGAATAAGTTCAAATTTCAAAAGACACGCCGCGTTTGCGAAATTTTACAAGGCATCAGTCAGGATGAGGGACAGCAGCACGACTGAACCTGAACAATTATTAGTGAAAGTGATGCCATTTTCGCTAAAACAGCGCGAGTTTTTGGGGAAATTGCTCTTTCATGCTTGTGAGTAATGGTGTGATACATTATGATATAACACTACCATGGTATTAAACAATTTCGTAAGCCTTACATCAGATTATAAACATTAGTGTCATTCTGTCGCTTTAAATTTCTGTTACAAATCCGTTCGCATGATTTCCTCAGTCACTGCGCCTTGCACC